TTTTGTTTTTTTGAGACAGGGTCTCACTATGTAGTTGAGACTGACCTGGAACTCACTATGTAGTCCGGGCTGGTCTCGAACTCAGAGCAGTCTTCCTGCCTCAGCCTCCCGAGTGCTGGAATTAAAGGCGTGGGCCATCATGCCCCGCATGGGTCTTGCTTTTTTGGCTCAATATAATGTCTGTGAAATCTGTCCTCAGTTTATTGTCTATATTTATTTAATTGTCCCATGGGCAGTTGTGATACCATAGCTTGCTTTCTACACACACGTACCATTCATTCTGCTACTGGACATTTGTGTCTATGTAAAATAATGCCTCTGGGAACATTCTTGTTCCTATATAAGCATATATGGACATATGTACCCATTCCTCTGGTATTATTTTAGGAATGGAATTTCTGGGTCATAGGATAAGTGTTTGATTATCAGTATCACTTTCACTAGGGCCAGATATCAGAAGGATAGTGGTTCCTGGTTTCCTGAGGGCCTGTGCTGATGGCAGGGCATCTGAACCCCCAATTACCAGAATGTTAACTCCCTATTCTCTTGGGCCTCAGCCATCCATAAAGTCTTCTCTGGATCCACCTCCACCTCCATACCCAAACCTATCCGACAAAATCAATGGCCTTAGCAAATGTTAGGTCCTATTTGTTTATATAACAGTCCGTTTACATTGGTCTCTGCTGGCCCTGGGGAAACGCAGACAGCAAATGCAGGCCAGAAGGGTAGGGCCGTAAAATGTTCCTGCCTGGAGAAAACACCTTAGTCCTATTATTTTTGTTTGTTTGTTTTGTTTTGTTTCTCTTTTGACACAGGGTCTCATTACGTAATTCAGACTGGACTTGAACTTACTGTTTAGCCCAGGCTGGCCTCAGACTCTCTCATCCTCCCAAGTGCTGGGAGGATGTTCTGTTACAGAACAGGAGGAAGTGCTGTTACAGATGTTCATCACCACACTGGGCTGGTTTTTGTTTTTGTTTTTGTACTGGGAATTGAACCCAGGCGCGCTGTCTCGCTCGCTCGCTCTCTCTTTGAGATGGGGCCTTGCTCAGTTGCGTAGGCTAGGCTCAAACTTGTAGACTTCCTGCCTCAGCCTCTCAGAATGCTGGGATTACAGATGTGAACCACCAGAACTGGCAGTCTCTGGTCTCCACGTTTGGTTTTGGTGACTGAACTTACCCTTGGAAGAAATGCTTTCCACAAAAGATCCCAAATCCTTTGTTTACCACTCAGTGACAGCCAGTTGACTTGGCACACTGGCCAGAATGGGGAATGCTGATTACATCCACACATAGCTGGGTTTTAGTGAAAATATTTAATTTCTTCGGTCTACAGTTGGATAATCAGTGTCCAAATAGCAATTCTTAGCCGGGCGTGGTGGCACACGCCTTTAATCCCAGCACTCAGGAGGCTGAGACAGGAGGATTGCTGTGAGTTCAAGACCAGCCTGGACTACACAGTGAGTTCCAGGTCAGTCTCAACTACGTAGTGAGACCCTATCTCAACCCCCCCCAAAAGCCCCCCAAAAGCAAATAGCAGTTCTTACCAGTGTGGCTGTTTATGGGGGAGGAGCCCACCATGAGGTGTGTCTGATACAGTAGGAGCTCAGTACCTACTATGAAGGGTATGGGAACAGTGTCGCCCCAGATGAGGATGGGCTAAGGAATGATTTTCAGTGCTATAAAGACAGACACTATGTAATTTTTAATAGAGTCAATCTTAATAGTTGCATGGATTTACAAGTTTTAGAAAATACGTATAGCCATTCCAACTGTTTTCACAGTGGTTGCTTGTTTGAGACAGCAGCTCACTATGTAGCCTAGGCTCTTCTCAAACTCCTGATGATACCCCTGCCTCAGCCTCCCAAGTGCTGTATTACAGGTGGGCACCATACCACTCAGCGTCAGTATTATTCTTTCTAATAAGCTGGCTGTTCCTGTCCCTGTTGGTCTGCCTAGATCCATGGTTCAGTCTGGTTAGGCTGCCCGTTCTGAACCTCAAGGAGTAACCCAGCAAGAACCCTGGCCTGACCGCAAGAGCTCTGTTTCTCTTGGGCCAGATTCTGGTGTCCACCCACACCCAGGCCATTCCCTGCTTTTGACATCCTTCCCTCCTTTCTTTGGTTACTGGCTTCCCCATTCTTCAGCACATTCTCAAGGAAGGTGGCCCAGGACTCTTAGCTTGGAAGCCCCCCACAAATTTCTTGTGCTGCAAAAGGACCAACTTGTTCTTTCCCTGATCTGCCCCTTACATACCATCCATCTGGGATCCCAGTGACTTCCTGAGCTCTTTCAGTGCCTCTGCTGAGCCCTGAGGACCTTCTGACAGGTGGCTGGAGGGATCCTCCTGAAACAATGAGGTCATTCTCTCTGCTTAAAATTCTGCAGGGGTAAGTGACTTGCCTGTGGAAAACAACGCCATCACTACCCCAGCCTGACTGCTGATGAACCTACCTGCTTCTCACACATTCCAGCTCCTGACAAGCAAAGGTCCCTAGTTTCCCAGCTGGGCAGTCCTAGCATGCAGATAACCCCTACTTAGTGCTCCTCCCAGGGAAAAGTGGACCTGACCACTTGCTGCTGAGGGGCACACTGGGCCCTGTGTCTGTGTTTCATCTTCCTGGAGACTGCCCTTGCTGGAGAGAATGAGGTCTGGTTTACCTGGGTCTCTTACATCAAGCATCTGGCTGGCCTACAGGGATTAACAGACCTTCAGGAGAGAGCTGTATAGGTTCCCAGCCTGGGTTAGATCCTTGGGTTAAGCTGCTGGGCAAGAATCCTGTCAGTTCTGCACCTCAGTTTTTTTCTTCTTCAAAACTGCAAATGCTTTCTCTTTTTCTCCCTCTCCCTCTCCATCTCCCTCCCTCTCTCTCTTCCCCTCCCTCCCTTCCTTCCTTCCCTCCTTCCTTAACACCCCCACCACGTGTGCTTTCTTTCTTTCTTTCCAGGAAGTGAAGGACCTTGCACTTGCTAGGCAGGTGTAGCACTGCTGAGCTACATCCCCGACCCTTTTGTTTTGTTTTTTTGTTACCAGGGATTGAACTCAGGTCCTTGCGCTTGCAAGGTGGGCCACCAACCACTGAGCTAAATCCCCGGCCCCTTTTGTTTTATTTTTTGACACAGGGTCTCACTATGTAGTTCAGGCTGGCCTTGAACTCACTATGTAGCCCAGGCTGGTCTTAAACTCCACCATCGTCCTGTTTTAGCCTCCCAAATGCTGGGATTACAGCCATGCACCACCATGCCCAGCCTTGTAATGCTTTAATCCAATTGTTCATTTACTTTCAAAGAGCTAATTAAATATTACCTTATTTAAAAACTTGCTACGTGCGATGTCTCAGGCCTTAATCCCAGAACTCAAGAGGCTGAGGCTGAGGCTGGGCTGGGAGGTAGCTCAGTGGCACAGTGCCTTCCTGGCAAGCGTGAAGCCATTTGTTCTATTCCCAGTATCAAGAAGAAGAAGAAGAAGAAGAAAAAACAAAAAGACTGAGGTAGGAGAATCACTGTGACTTCGAGGCCAGCCTGAGGTACATAGTGAGTTCAAGGCCACCCTGGATTACACAGTGAGACCTTGCCTAAAACAAAAACGAAAACAAAAAACTTGTATAAGAATGTTCAGAGCGGCACTACTCAAAATAGTGAAAAAGGCAGGCACAATTTATTTGGTACCAGGGATCAAGCTCAGGAATTTGCGCTTGTGAGGCAGGCGTTGGAACCACTGAGCTAAATCCTCAGCCCTCTGACTTTTTGTTTTGGAAAATTTAAATGTAATAACGAATATGTAAAATGTAGCCTGTCCACACAAATAAATATTATTGAGTCATTGAAAAGTATGGCTGAGCATGTGATGCACACCTGTAATCCAAGCTATTGGGAGACTGAGGCAGGAGGATCACTGGGAGCTGGAGGCCAACCTGGGCTGCATAGTGAGTTCAAGGCGAGCCTGAACTACGTAGAACTACATATGAAGACCCTGACTTAAAAAAAAAAAAAAGTAAAGACGCAGTGGCATGGATGAACGGCACAAACAAGCAAAGTGAAGTCAGATACAAAAGCACAAAGTGTTTGATTTCATTTGTATAATGTGTCCAGAATAGGGAAATCTACAAAAACAAAATAGATTGGTGGTTTCCAAGGGTTGGGGCAAGAGGAGATGGCGAATGATTACTTAATAGGTACAAGTATCCTTTGAGGAGAATGAAAATGTGAAACTAGATAGCTGTGATGGTGCTTACTAAACGGTGTGTGTACTAAATGTCACTAATGATAAACTTTATACGTATTTACCACAATTTTTATTTATTTATTTATTTATTTATTTATTTGGTACCGGGGATCAAACTCGGGTCCTTGTGCTTGTGAGGCAGACGGCGGAACCACTGAGCCAAATCCCCGGCCCCTATCACAATTTTTATAAAAATATAACAAAAGACTTTGCAAAGCTGTGTATGAGCCATCTCTCACCCGGCGGGTGGCAGAATCTTTGTGACCGGGGTAATCACAAAGGGAGACTCTTACAACCTAGGGGGTAAGGTGGACTGGCGAGCATCGCATTCCTAGTTGAAACAGACGTTTGGCAGCGTCAGCCTTCTCAAGGTCGGATTCTGGCGGGTCGACCTCAGGCAGGAGGTGCTCTGGAGGCCGGCCGGGTTACTCCATCCGGTGAGCCGGACTCTCTCCCTTGGCTTTCAATTCCTGGAGCTTCGACCCGTGGCCAACTCAGGTCTTGACAATATTCGTTTTTCTCGGGTCTGAATCCACTCTCTACGCAGAGACCACGCCTACCCAGAAGAGCTGCTCCAGGCCCCGCCTTTTTGCCTATCAATCTATTTCGCTGTAGCCACGCCCCCCAACGTCTAGCCCGCTCTGGAAGAGCGGGGCCCTACGTCTTCGGTTCCAGGCCACACCCCCTTGAGGCCTGTCTGTCAGTCCTGCCCCGCCCCCTCTCGCCGTTTTTTTTCTACCCTTGCCTCGGCGGCCCGTTGTTATGACGACACGGTCGTAAATCCGCCATCTTCCTGCGGCGCGTTGCGACATGGAGGGCGCGATGGCAGTGCGGGTGACGGCCGCTCATACGGCAGAAGCCCGGGCCGAAGCCGGGCGTGAAGCGGGTGAGGGTGGGGTCGTAGCAGCGGCCTCTGTTCCCGGCGGCTTCCTCGGCCTCCCAGCGCCCTTCGGCGAGGAAGGTAACGAGGCTAGACTGTGCTGGTACGGCCAGGGTGGGGCGGCTCAGCCTGGTCTAGTGGAATACCGAGGGCCGAACCTTCGGGCGCCCAGGCCCTTCAGGACTGAGCTCCCCGCGGGCCTCGCATGCCATCCCGACCCTCGCAGGCTTCCCTGTGGGGCGCCTGCCCCCCGTTGGGCCCTGCGCGTTTGCAGGTGTACGCAAAAGTCTCGAGGTCCCAAATTGGACCCAGACAAACGCTGACTGCCCAGCCCTCCGGCCCTTGCTGCAACCCCCGACGCCCCTGCTGGAGGCGGGGACTCAGTTCTCCACGGGATGGGGCTCACCTAAAGGTGCACAGCCGCCACCCCTACAAAATGTAGCTGCAGCTTCTCGAATGTGCTGAGCACTTACCCCACTCCCTCCTCCCATCAGCTTTTTCTTTCTTTTTTTCTTTTCTTTTTTTTTTTTTTTTTTTTTTTTTTTTTTTAAGACAGGGTCTCACTATGTAGTTGGGACTGACCTGGAACTCATTATGTAGCCCAGGCTAGTCTGGAACTCACAGCGATCCTCCTGCCTCAGCCTCCTCAGTGCTGAGATTACAGGCGTGCACCACCACACCTGGCCAAACTTTTGTGTTTTTTTTTGAGACAGGGTCTTGATAAATTCCCCAGGTTGAGATTGAACTTGTTATCCTTCAGCCTCCTAGAGTGCTAAGATTACAGGCGTACACCACCACTAAGGCAGTATTTTCTGTCCTTAAGTCAACTCTTAGATTGACTGCTATTATTATTAGCATTTTAGAGATGAGGTCCACTGAAGTTCATTGATGTAAAAGAGTGGTCACCCATTTAGGAAGTAGCAAGGACTGGATTGGACCCCAGGACCATGTAGCTCCTCAACTCCTTTAATTTCTGGGTTCTGGTACTTCATGGGAGAATAGCAAGAATAACGTGTGTGTGTGTGTGTGTGTGTGTGTACGCGTGTAAGCCTGAGAGTAGTACTGGGACACTAAGCCAGTGGTGGTGAACCTATAGCACGCGTGCTGGAGAGGGCTGTTTGTATCCCTGAAAGCTCTGAACAGCTCGCCATCGCTGCCTAAGCATTCGTTCACCGGGCAGTATTAGTGAAACAAGATGTAAAGAAAAACAAATCCTTCCCAGCCTTGGGCAACCCTCCACCCCCGAAACTCCTTGTTCTGGTACAGAGAAAATTGACAACTATATCCTGTAAACAAAGTTTATGCCGCTGTATTCTCATATGATTCATAAGACATTGTCTTCTTTGAAGGCAAAGTTACAAAACTCCACTTGTCCTGTTCCACTTGCTGTGTCACTAGAAAAACCACTCCCTCTGACAAAATGTATAAAAGCTGAAACTTTTCTTTGTTCAGTGCTGTCTTCCTTTAGACAGGAAACTCTTGAGCTGAACATACCTTGAACCTAAAATAAAGCCCTCTGTTTCAGTCCATGGATCTCTCCAGTCTCTTGGATTCCCACAACAGTAGCTTTTTAGAACCACGTAGGTCTCCACTGTCTCCTGGAATGTCCCACGATCAGACAGGAAGGGTGTTGGTTCTTGGTACTGTGTTAAGGGTGGTCTTGTCTTTGTCCCCAGAGGATGTGTAGTGTTTGTCTGTATCTGCCTCTCCTCTCCCTGCCCCGTATATATAATATATGTTATATCTATAGTTATATATATATATATATATATGTATGTATATTTATTCCCTTATTTCTTCTTGGAGAGGGGCAGTGCCAGCCTGAGAGGAGTCTCTTTGAAGGTTGTTGTGCCCTGCTGGGTCTGTCTGCCTTGTTTCTGTGAAATGTGTCTTTCTGGGCTAGGGCTCCTTTGGCAGCAATATTGTGCTGAATCAGACTCAGTAAGTTGGGAGAGTTAGAAAGGTGACAGGTACTTCAGTGCCTGGTTTGTGACTGAGCCAGCCACCTCTGTTAGGTGGCCTGTGGGTGAGTCAGCTCTTGCCTGGCACTTTATTTGCCCATTAATTAAACAAACCTTGACTGGGCTTCTCCCGTGTACCACACCTGGATTTGACCTTGATGTATGACGACGGAAGTGCTAGGAACAGTCAGACTTTTATGGAAGAAGGGCGCCTGGGTTGGCCCTTGCCTCAAGTTGTTTTTCTAGGTTGGGTGTAGTCATTCATTTCCCCAGGGTGCTGGAAGATTTTTTGATATTCCTAGTGAGGTACCTGTCCTACACAGGGACTCAGGGAGCCAGAAGTCTCTCCTGCAGGTCCTAGGACAGGCATGGTGATGGTGAGGGGCTCAGGTGTGGGCATGAAGCCCTTCTGGGAAGCTCTACCCTTGGTGCCTGCACCTGAATAGGGGTGCTATCTGTTGGGGACCAATGAGGCATAAAGCCAGGGTGAAAAGAGTGGTCAGGAGCAGAGGATGTAACTCGGTGATAGTGTATGTCAGTGTGGGCTAGGCCTTGGTTGAATCCAGCACTTTTAGTGGTTAAAGATTAGGCCCCCTTCTGTTGATGTCTTTTTTTTGTGGGGGGTGCTGGGGATCGAACTTAGGTCCTTGCACTTGTGAGGCAGGCGGCAGCACCACTGAGCTAAATCCCAGGCCGTGTTCCTGTCTTTTCCAAAGGCTGGCCCCTTAGCCAGAGCCTCGTGGGGCTCAGTCTACTGAGACTCTGTCGTGCCCTGTTCATTCTTATCAAGTCAGTCCACTTCACAGATGAGGAAAACGATTTACAGATGGTCACAGAAATGGCCAAGGGTATATTCAATTGCCAACAGTTTTTATGCATTTTTGTTTGTTTGGTGGTGGTGCATATTAGACAAGTATTGTACCATTGAGCTATATTCTTAGTCCCCCAAGTCTTTAAGGTAGTGCACACTTGTAATCGCTGCACTTAGGAAGCTGAAACAGAGGATTGCTGAGCTTGAGGCCAGTCTGGGCTATATATTAAGTTCAAGGCCAACCTAAACTACATAGTGAGATCTGATCTCAGAAAAACAAAACCCCCAAAATAAAATCCAGGCATGGTGGTGCATGTCTATAATCCTAGCACCGGGGAGGCTGAGGCAGGATTACTGTGAGTTTGAGGCCATTGTGGGCTACATAGTGAGTTCAAGACTATCCTGAACTATGTAGTGAGTCCCTGTCTAAAAAACAGCAACAAACCAAAAAAGCACACAAACAAAACAAAACTCATCCCTCTACTATCCCTAAACTGCTCGGGCAAATCCCTTTGCTTCCCAGCCCCTTCTGGGCCTTTCTCTTCTAATCCCTAAAGTAGGAGCTTTGGGGCTGACAGCCTCAGTGAATCTTGCAGCCTAGGTGTGTGTTGTATGCCATCCTGGGTGGGCCTTGGCTTTTTAGAGGTTGGATGCTGTACACAGATTTCCCTAGCCTTGGACTCCCAAGCATATTCTCAGCAGCCCCTGAAAGAGCTGGGGCAAGTGCTCTGCTCCTGATGTCATCCTTAGGCAAGGCTGGTTTGGGGTTGGAGACTAAGCTGGAGTGGCCCTGGTTTCCCAGCTGGGAGCCTCTGACAGCAGGCTCATTGCAGATGAGGATGACGTACACAGATGTGGCCGCTGTCAGGTGGAATTCACTGCCTTGGAGGACTTTGTTCACCACAAGTTTCAGAAGGCCTGCCAGCGGGCCCCTCAGGAAGCCCTGCATACGCCCTCTGCTGCCACCACACTGCTGGGCCAGGAGGTAAGCCTCTACCCTCTTGCCACTGCGCACACCCACCTTCCTGGGCTCCCCTGACAGCAAGAAGAGGAAGAATGCTACGACAGACCGGTGTAGCTGGTTCCTGGTGAATGTGGGTGGGAAGACATCTGGTTTCAGGTAGAGGGTCCTGGCTGTGCCCCTAATCCTGTTGATGCACTGAAGCTTCCTGGATAGCTTGGGTGGTCCAGCCTTCTCACATCCTGCACAGTTGAGGGACTGGGTCCCTCTTTCCGTAGGGTTTTAGCTCAGGACGTTATGGTGGTGTTGGTCTTCTTGACTTACCTCCTGTCCTGCACATGATTCCTGAGGATCTCACAAATGAAGCAGGGTCCTGTGGGTCCTACCACCTTGTCATAAAATGGCTTATTTTTTTAAGGCCCTGTGATATGCTTGTGCCTAGACACACAGCCTTACCAAATTTTACAGCACTTCTCTCGGTGGGACCTCTTTTCATCCTCATTGAACAGAATTGAGAAAGGAGCCTCAGGGAGAAGTCAGTGGCTTCAGGCTACCAGTGGTCCAGATGACAGTGGAACTGGGTTGTCTCTCTGACCACGTGGCTGGGGCTGTAGGTGTGGGTGCTGCATTGTTGTGCCTGCCACAGTCCAGCTTCACAGTTACCAGTGCCTCACTGTGGGTGCCAGTGCGCCATGTCCAGGTGTGATGAGAGGCATCAGAGTGATGGGGCTAGTCCTCAGCCATGGGTTGGAGAAGCTAGGCAGGAGTTAGGCTCAGAGCTGTGGTCTTGTGGGCAAGATGGGAGTTGCCACTCACACTTCAGGACAGGGGCCAGGCCTGTGCTCCCCAGTTGATTCTTCCACAGCTTTATACCAAGGGAGCCCAGGCCCTCCTCTGGAAATTCTGGAGCCACAGACATGTCCCCTCTGTCCCCATCCTCCAATTGGTAGGTGGTGCCAACGGCAGCAGGCCCAGAAGAACCCATTACTGTGGCCCACATTGTGGTGGAGGCAGCCTCCCTGGCAACAGACATCAGCCATGCTCCTGACCTTGTTGGTAAGCCAGCCGTCCACCTGCAGTTCTCTTGGCACTGAGGTGTCTCTGACTTGATAGCCATTTGTAGGTGGGGCTGGAGTATAAGGCAGTTCTGCTACCACACCCTTTATTCTCCCAAGAGCAAGGCCTAACTCTGGAGAGGCTGAGGGCTTTTGTAAGCCTCTCCTGGGCAGGGCTGGTAGGAGCAGGATGCATCAGACACCAGGCTCTGTGGGGAAAAGGCCATGACATTCTGTATCCACAGTGACCTAAACGACCCTAGGATACATGCAGGCATCACGGAGTCTTCACTCTGTGCCATCCTGAGCAGGCTTCCCTCTCCTTCATGCTTTCCCAGGCTTTTTGTCCTCTGGACCTCTTATATCCTTCCCACTTCTCTGCCACTCCAGTGGTTCCTGCTCACTGCTCACAGTTGGCACCCACTGGGTGCACCCCTGGGTACCTCTGCCCAAACCGTTGGCTATGGATGGTTGGTATGGGGCAGTTGGGGTGCCCCTGCTGCTGTAGCTGGCCCCAACTTGGTGCCTGACCTTGCTCTTCACCCCCAGTGCTTCCTTACATTAGCATTGGAATTCCTATCCTGATTGTCATTAGGCTTTTATGAGCATACAACGCCAAGCCTGTTTGATGGCTATGTTTTAAAATTTAATTGCCTCACTGATGTGCAGTGGAAAAGGGGGCATTCAGAGGTCTGTATTGGGTCAGGCTCTCATTAATTGGGAAATGTGCCGGGGGACATTCAAAGGGCTGCCTGGGCGGATGGAAGCAACCAGGGGCTATTTCTGATGTACAGATGAGAGTGGAAATGAGTGGTTGGATTTGTAGATGCCAGGGGAGGGCAGTCAGGTTGGGTCTGATGTTATGGGAAGTTGGGAGGGAAGCAGTCCTTACCTGGGGTGCCTGCTGGCAGGGGTCAAGGCAGGAGGGTAAGATGGCATCTGGACAGAAAATGTGTTTGGGGTTTGGGCAACAGGTAGAGCTTGACCTTGGGAATCTGTGGGGACTGGTTGGAGCAGGAATGGGGAGGTTCTTTGAGAGAGACCAGGCTGGGGCTTGGGAAAGGGAGTCTCTGAGCAGGTTGACCTGCCCAGGGAAGCAGCTAGGATACCTGTCCTGGTCTCCATGCCACCTTTCCCCTGATTTCCTAAAACAAAGACACCTGTTGCCACTCAGATTTAGGAATATTGTTGTTGAGGGTAGGGCCTTGCTCCAGCTCTGGTTCAGAGTTTAGTTTCTGTGTTGAGTGTGTGGTGTCATCTGAGAAAACAGGTTCCCAGTAGCATGTCTAGGCTCCAGGCCTTTGGCCAGCTGGGCCCCTTTCACCCATCCTTGCTTTCAGTGGTTCCCAGCCTTCGCCTGCCATGGTAGCCCTTGCTATGGTAGTATTTCAGCATCCCCTGCCCCTCTTGCATCTTTTGTACCTCGAGATTTTTTTCCCCCCTTTGTGAGATCCTAGGTGGGCAGGACCCAAGGGCTGGCAGTGTTCCTGTTGACCTCAGGGAGAGAAATGTCAGAGAGGCGGTTGGGCTGACTGGGCTCTCCTCTGGGGTCAGGACTTAGGCACCAGGGACTGTGTGAGGTGGCTGGTCACCATCTCCAGGCCCTCCTGCCTTTGCCCTAAACACAGACTCAAGTTTCCTTATGGGCTGGTGTAGCTGTCTCTCAGTTCATTAGCCATCAGGTCTCTGTTCTTGGGAAGATGCTTCTGGGGCACTGAGAATGTCAGCTGGATCACATACGAAAGATGCCCTAATTGTTTTTGAGTTACTTTCTTGGATTTTATTTGGAGAGAACAAGATGCTAGCCAGATGGAGATAGTTTCCAAGAAGTGGCTTCTCAGCTGTTTCCCACTCATCACTCTTATGAGCAGAAAATGAAGTGTTTGCAGTCTTGGTTTGCACATTGTCATATTTCCTTAGCACCACTGAGAAGCATAAGGCCTGACTTCCTTTCTTCAGGCCATCCGTGTGTCTGGGGAGCATTCACACCTCCACAGTCTGCCCCAGGACAGGGCTCTGGTAGTGTCTGCTTGTCCAGCAGCAATCCAATCAGTGGGTGACCCCAGAGGCACCTTCTATCTCCAGGGGCTCGGTAGCACTACGGGGGAGTATACAGGACTAGGCAGCTGGGCTGGTCCAACCTCTGTCTCTGTGCCTAGGCACATTGTTGCCAAAACCTGCACATATTCTTGGCATAAAAGATGGGGCATCTGTTCTTATGGTGGGTCTCCCCACTGCACAAGTTTGGAGGCCCTGGAGTCCCTCCAGGCAGCTCCATGGAGTTGGAAAAGTCTGTATCCTGCCAGCTGACTCAGGCTGAGTGGCTCCTTGGCTGCACCCCCAGGTCCTCTGCATTGATTTTCCACTATGCAGGTTGGACCTGGATTTGACCCGGAGCAGCAGGTCCCAGATCTGGGACCAGGGGGAGTGTAGACAGCCTTTGCCTACAAAGCCCCCTCTGCACAGATCCTTTTGGGTCCTGTGGTGCGACCCAAGGCTTATGGTGACTTGCCTTTCCTCAGGCAATGGACATATTAAAGAGGTCATTGTGGCTGCTGAGACTGAGCCAGGGGATGGTGAGCTAGCGGAGGCCTCGGGTAGTCCCAGCCATCAGGAGATTGAGCTTGCTGTGGAGGGCGAGCAGGCACAGGCTAAGCTGCTGGTGAACAAGGATGGCCGCTACGTGTGTGTGCTGTGTCACAAGACGTTCAAGACGGTGAGCCCCTGGGGCTGAGGGCTGGCCACGCCTCCCGCCTTCCGCCCAGGGAGGTGTACTGAGCCTTACTGCCCGTCCCTTGCAGGGCAGCATCCTCAAGGCCCACATGGTCACCCACAGCAGCCGCAAGGACCATGAGTGCAAGCTCTGCGGAGCCTCCTTTCGGACCAAAGGCTCACTCATTCGGCATCACCGGCGGCACACAGGTGAGCTGCGCCCTCCCACCTGGCCTTGGAGGTGCCCTACCCTTGGCCTATGTTTATGTTTCCTGAGTAAAGAGGCAGGGGCTCCTTGGCTGCCTTCCCCTTGTTACAGGGTGACGGGCTGTTGTCTACCCAACACTGACTGTTCTCTCCACAGACGAGCGCCCATATAAGTGTGCCAAGTGTGGGAAGAGCTTCCGGGAGTCGGGTGCACTGACTAGGCACCTCAAGTCTCTCACTCCATGCACAGAAAAAATCCGCTTCAGCATGAGCAAGGATGTGGTTGTGGGCAAAGAGGACATGCCTACAGGTCAGCATAGTGGGATCTGCCTGGGTATTCGGGGCTGCTGTTCCCAGCCTTGGCCCCTGGCTGAGGTACCACTGCTCAGGGGAAGTGCTTTAATTGCTCACTCAGTTCTGCCTTAAAGGGTCAGGTGCCTCCACCATGGGGACAGTTACACCTTCGTCAGTGACAGGCGAACCTTTGGAGACATCGCCAGTGATTCATCTGGTGACAGATGCGAAGGGCACTGTCATCCATGAAGTCCATGTCCAGATGCAGGAACTACCACTGGGCATGAAACCCCTGGCCCCAGAGGTAGGGCTGGGCTACTCTCCGCTCTGTCCTCTGCCCATTTTGTCTTCTCTCTGCTGTGAGCACTGATTCCAACAGAGGTAGGCAATTGGAGCTGCTGGCGGAGCTCACTTTGCCTACAGAGTAGACTAAAGGGCTCCCTGCATGGTTCCAGGGGTCAGGGAAGGGGCTGGGGATGAGTGAGCAGGGGTCGAGGTTGGAGTGAGGAGGACTGGGCTCTACCCAGTGAGAGCAAGGCAACTAGTGCTGGGAGGCTGGGAGTGCACCATACAGTGTCTCTAGAGCCCCTGGGCCTGGTGGGGTCTGGCCTGTAGGGTAAGTGCTGTGTGCCAGGCTGTCTGGCCAGCCTGCCTCTCCTTTCTCTGCAGCCTCCAGGCCCTGAGGAGCTTCCCTGTTCTGGTGAGGGCAGCCGTGAGAACCTGTTACACCAGGCTATACAGAACTCTGGCATCGTTCTCGAGCGAGTCACTGGGGAGGAGAGTACCGTAGAGCCGGCCCCAACCTCTGGGTCTGGTCCACAGCCCCTGGAAAATGGACCTTCAGAACTGCCACTGCTGGAGGTGGAGCAGATGGAGACAGTAGGTGTTTCTTGCTAGCATCCTCCTCCTGGGGTAGACACCGTGTTTGCTCACCACGATGGCCTGTGCTCCCTGCAGCAGATGGTAGTACTGCTTTACTACCTTCCCTGGGGCTATGAGGGAGCTGGCCGGGGTGGGTGCTCCAGTCTTATCTTTGGTGTGGCTAGGGCACATCCTGCAGTAGGTGCTAGAGGTCTGCTTGTGGTCCCCTAGCAGGTGGCCAGTGAGGCCTCCTCCGTGCCCAGGACCCACCCATGTCCTCAATGCAGTGAGACTTTTCCAACAGCAGCCACCCTGGAAGCTCATAAGAGAGGCCATGCAGGTGGGTAGTATGCGGGCAGGTAGGTCCATGGACAAAGGGGCCTGGGGGCAGCCAGGGTGGCCTGTGGTCCCGCAGTGGGTGGCCAGATGTGGTATGGGTGGCAGGCCTCGCTGATGTTGTGTGTGGTCCCAGGGCCGAGGCCATTCCCCTGTGCGCAGTGTGGCAAGGCCTTCCCCAAGGCCTACCTGCTCAAGAAGCACCAGGAGGTACACGTGCATGAGCGCCGCTTCCGCTGTGGAGACTGTGGGAAGCTGTACAAGACCATCGCCCATGTGCGCGGCCACCGGCGTGTCCACTCCGATGAGCGGCCCTTCCCTTGTCCCCAGTGTGGCAAGCGCTACAAGACTAAGGTGGGGACCCTGGTGTCTAGCTCTGGGGCCAGATGTACCCCTTTTTTCCTGCTCCCCCACGTCCCCCTTCTTGGCCTCAGCCTGCTCAGGTTTTGCCCCTCAGGCCCAGAGGTAGGTCGGGGGGTGGCCCTGATCTGCTCTGGCTGAGACCAGCTGTCTTGGACTGGTATCCCCAGAATGCCCAGCAGGTGCACTTCCGGACACACCTGGAGGAGAAGCCATATGTGTGCCAGTTCTGCAGCCGAGGCTTCCGGGAGAAGGGCTCGCTGGTGCGGCATGTGCGGCACCACACGGGCGAGAAGCCCTTCAAGTGCTACAAGTGCGGCCGAGGTTTTGCTGAGCATGGCACGCTCAACCGGCACCTGCGTACCAAAGGTGTGGGTCAGTGCGTGGCGAGAGGCATGAGGGCTAGGGGTTGCCTGACTGTCACTGAGCTTCCCTACCCCGGCAGGGGGCTGCCTGCTGGAGGTGGAGGAGTTGCTGGTGTCTGAGGAGAGTCCCTCAGCAGCTACCACTGTGCTGGCAGAGGACCCCCACACTGTGCTGGTGGAGTTCTCGTCTGTGGTGGCTGACACACAGGAGTACATCATCGAGGTGGGTGTGGGGCTGGTGGGGCCGGGAAAGGCCCCAGGGTAGCACACCCTGACTTACGACTGTCCGTCCAGGCCACTGCAGATGATGCGGAGACCAGTGAAGCTACAGAGGTTATCGAGGGCACCCAGACGGAGGTGAGTGGCCTGGAAAGGGTGGGAGGCCGGTCTGGCCCCTTGAGCAGCCAGGTGGGCTGAGCTGTGGTCCCTGCAGGTGGACAGCCACATCATGAAGGTGGTACAACAGATTGTGCACCAGGCCAGTGCCGGGCACCAGATCATTGTGCAGAATGTGACCGTGGACCAAGAGGCAGGGCTGGGCTCGGAGGCAGCCTCTGCAGACACCATCACCATCGCCACCCCTGAGAGTTTGACAGAGCAAGTGGCCATGACCCTGGCCTCAGCTATCAGTGAGGGAACTGTGCTCGCAGCCCGCACAGGCTCAAATGGCACTGAACAGGCCACTGTGACAATGGTGTCATCAGAGGACATCGAGATCCTCGAGCATGCAGGAGAGCTGGTCATTGCTTCACCAGAGGGCCCAGTTGAGGTGCAGACAGTCATTGTCTAGCATGGAGCCTGCAGGCTCCCATTGGGCCGGGGCAGGTGCAGACGCAAGGACCCTCAGTGCCTACCCATGCCTACCTGGACTAGTAGAGAAGACAGCCCAGAATTTCAGGCATCCAAAGGAGACTGGGTGTGTAAATATGTTGAAGTTTTTTGTTGCTTTACAATAAAACATGAAAACCTGGAGCTTGTGATGTTGGGGAAGTGGCCTTTGGAAGTGACCAGTGGCAGCACCTGTCTGCCACACTTGTTCACACACCTGGCCACCAGCCCAGGGGCATTGCTGGCCTTGGTGGCGCCTCCATGGTGTGTGGGTGTGTCTGGCATGTTGACAGGCAGCCTCTTGCCACTACCCTTCCTAGCTGGAGCTGTGATCCCCAATTTCTCCTCGCCTCTTGGGGTTGGGGGAAACTTGCTGCTCCTCAGCCTCCTTCCCTGGGCTGTCATGGGTTAGGGTCTGAGGCTGAGACCCAGGAACCTCAAATCCAGTGGAATAGCTGCAGCTTTTTACCCTGAGGTGAGGACAACTATAAGCAAAGCAGCCGGGGATGTTGGACCAGGAATGGGCCTGGTCTTTCCTGATGGTCTGTTTTTCCACGAGGATGTGGCTCAAAGAGGCAGATTCTAGGTGACCTAGTTTCTGGGGAGGCAGAGATAAGAACAAGGCCTGGACCATGGGTGTGGCTGGCCCTTTTCTGAAGTCCTGAGTCTGTCCTTAGGCCTCTGGGAGCTTCCTGGGTGGTTCTGGGACAAGCCTGCGGTGCTACTGTTGGCTCAGGAGATAATCCTGACCCTTGCTTGCTGGGGTTTCCATGGGAATGGGAGCCAGGAGTTCTGGCATGCACTCTTTGGAGGCGGGACCCAGCGGAGCCCTGCCCCTCCCCGCAGCAGGGCCTCAAATACCCACCAGTGCTCTTGCATCAGAGCTCCTGCTGAGCTAGGACAGCAGTTTGTCCAGAGCCACAACAGGCCCCAGCCTGGACCACAGGTCCCCATTTGGACCAGCATCCGGGAGTCTCTGACACCACTTTATCCATATCACAGGTAAGTCTTGGGTCTGGGTTGAGCTGGAGGCTGGCTGGGAATAAGATTTAAAACTGTTTGCTCATGCTTTGGAAAACCCATCATAGGCTGAAAGCCTGGTGTACCCCCGGGTGTGGAGGGGGATGGTCTGACCTGGAGAAATGAGGAGTAAATGAGGTTTCTCCCGAGGCCAGCCGTGGAGGCAAACCTAGCCAGGTATGGTCCGAGGTGTTTCTCGCAAGCTGTCCCTGACCCTTTCAGCTCCTCGGCTTCTGCCATGGGTGGGCCCTGGGCCCTGGGCCCTGCTGGCGGCACTCTGGGCACTGGGGTCTGTAGGGTCTGCGGCGCTGCGCATCGGAGCCTTCAACATCCAGTGCTTTGGTGACAGCAAAGTGTCAGACCCCGCCTGCGGCAGGGTCATTGCACAGGTAAGGCTGGGAGCACAGCTGAGGCTGAGCTGGAGCCAGGTGGGGCTCCCGGGCACACCTGGCAGGCTCCCCAACCTGACAACTGCCCCCAGATCCTGGCTGGCTACGATGTCATGCTCGTTCAGGAGGTGCGGGACCCAGACCTGAGTGCTGTCACGGTACTCCTGGAGCAGATCAACAGGTGTGGTGGACAAGACCCCCGTGTGTACCCTCAACCTTGATCGTAGGCTCAGCGCAGCACTTGACACAGGACCTGGCCCTTCTCTCCACAGTGTGTCCGAGCACGAGTACAGCTTTGTGAGCAGCAAGCCACTGGGTCGGGACCAGTACAAGGAGATGTACCTGTATATCTACAGGTGAGGTGCAGGGGTCCACAGGGAGGGAAAGGCAGGGTCCAGGTGGCAGGCTCAGTGGGTCACCAGTCCTCTGCTCCCAGGAAAGACACAGTGTCGGTCGTGGAGACATACCAGTACCCTGACGCAGAAGACGCCTTCAGCCGTGATCCTTTTGTGGTCAAATTCTCCGCCCCCAGCTGCGGTGAGGTTGGCTCAGTCCTCCCAGGCTCCTGCCCTCAAGCCACGCCCTGACAGGCCCCTCCCTCCTCACCCTGCTCCCACCCTTAACACCCCCCACCCCACAGCTGCCAAAGAGCTGGTGCTAATCCCCTTGCATGCGGCGCCTCACCAGGCTGTGTTGGAGATCGACGCCCTTTACGATGTCTACTTGGACTTGATCGACAAGTGGGGCACAGATGTAAGCTCCCTGCCCAATTCCTGTGTCTCAGGGTCCTATTGGTGGGGCCAGGGGTTTGGGTCACTGTGCCAGTCTCAGATCTCAGTGGCATCCACAGGACATGCTGTTTCTGGGTGACTTCAATGCAGACTGCAACTACGTTCGGGCACAGGACTGGGCAGCCATCCGCCTACGCAGCAGTGAGATCTTCAAATGGCTTATCCCTGATAGCGCTGACACCACGGTAGGCAACTCGGACTGTGCCTACGACCGCATTGTGGTGTGTGGCGCCCGTCTGCGCAGGAGCCTGAAGCCCCATTCGGCCGCCGTGCATGACTTTCAGGAGGAATTCGGCCTAGATCAGGCACAGGTGAGTGGTGGGAGGAGCCCAGTCTGGGCCACACTGGCATAGGCTGGGAGGAAGGGGCAGGGTACTATTTTTGCTTCTGGTCATGCTTCCAGCCTAAGATCTGTAGACCCTCAGCCCCTGCCAACAGGGTCCTCTCCTATTCCCATACAGGGGCCAACTGTGAACCTGTAAACAGTAGCCAGGGAGGACATGTAGGCCTTACTGGCCCCCTCCCCACAGAGGCACTGGTTTGTGTAATTATTGGACCCATTGTACTGCAGGACTGCTGAGACCCTGCTTGCCTCTCTTTTCAGGCTCTTTCCATCAGTGACCATTTTCCTGTGGAAGTGACCCTCAAGTCCCACCGATAGCCTGGCAGTCTGGGCAGGGAATGCCATCTACAGATTTTGGCCACAAAGAGTGGCACCACAGAGGATTGTGTGGGTGGCAAGCTACTTGCCAGTGAGGATGTAGGGCAGGGTCAGCTGGGCAGGGACATGTCCATGGACACACAGTAGGACTACCCAGAGCCTCAGTTTTCCTATCTGTAAGACAGGCTAACACTACCTACCTCTTAGGGTTGTTGTAAAGAGTTATCTACAAATGGTGCTGTGTGGTGCCTGGCACAACCTCTGCTTAATAAACAAGGTGCTCGGCCAGGATCCCACAGGTTGGCTCCAAGGCTTCTGTTGTCTTAGGACCCAGCCCTTCTGGGGTGCGAGCCTTGAGTCTACTGTCCAGTGGGCCAATGGTCCCAGCCCCCTTGGGGGATACAGAGGGTCTGTCTTGCTCACTTTTTATTCTGGTGGGAACTTGTAACCTCCTGACCATACTGGCCCAGAAAGCTCAGAAATGCCCCGAAATTTCCTGTGCCAGCTGCAGATGCTTCCAAAAGCCTGTTCCATGAGTGCAACTGGATGGTAACAGCACCACACAACAGCTTCCTGGGCCTTGATGGATTTCAGAACAGGCTTTGATCCCCATCCTGCCACCAGGGACTCCCAGGCACTCATCTGAATTAGAGGTCCTGCTGCATCCAGTTCTGCAAGGGGAATCAGGGCGGCTGGCCTCAGGTCCTGTCAGTCATCTTCCCTGGGACTTTCAGAGTCCTTCAGCATAGGAAGGCTGCTTTGGGTCTCTCCCAGGCCAGACATGTGGCTCTGCGCTATATCCTTCCCAGAGACTGCTGTTCTTGCCAGGGGACAGGTCTGTGTAGTTTCCTCAGCAGCCCTGGTTGGGTGAGGACCTGCTAGAGTGTGAGTCTCTGTGCTTGGGATGAGCCTACCACCTCGGAGGCAGGAAAAAGCAGTTTCGTGGGCACAGGGACCTGATGAGGTTTCTAGCTTTTGAAATAGTTCATCTTTGGCAGAATTTGGAAACTGGACCGAGTCATATGGAAGGGACAGTCTTTGTTTCAAAAGTTTAGACAAGTTTGGTTCTCCCAAAATCTCTTTTTTTGGTAATGGGGATCGAACTCGGGACCTTGCACTTGTGAGGCAGGTGGCAGCACCACTGAGCTAAATCCCCGGCCCTCACAAATCTAAAGTAAGTCAGGATTTTGGCAGTAGTGCGTGTCTCAGCCATGCAATGCTTGGGAGGGTCCTCTCCATGCTCCCCGGGATCCTCTGAATGCCTGCCTATTCTCTCCATCCAAGTGAACAAACATGGTGCCAAAGGGTTATTCTCTTGGAGGGGGGCGGTCCTGTGGGTCTTAGTTGGCCTTAAAAGCAAGCAAGTAATCAAAGGCTGGGAATGGGACGACCTGAGGACTTTATTCACAATCCTGCTTTGGGAAAGGAGACAGTGTGATCTTGTCTGGGCTCACAAGGACCCACCTGCCATTAAATTCCAAAAATCTAGACACCGCTCTTCAAGCTGTCATGGCTTCCCACCAGGCAAGAGGCACTTGTGGTGGCAGTGGGGCCTTTGGACACTCAGCCCTAAGATCAGGAAAACAAAGAGCTGAGCAAGTTGAAAACTACCTTCTTTACAGTTTCCTTGAGACCAGAGAAAAACCTGTGCGGCAGGCCTGCCCTAGTGCTTCTTTTGTTTGAGGTTTTCTAAGTACACCTGCAGGGAATTCTGGGTGGAGTCTCTGGAGATGAAGCTGACGAAGTTCTGGATGTCAGCTTCCCGCTGTTTGATCAGGTGGTCTGCTGTGGCCTTCCTCATCATGTTCTTGGTCAGCTGCCGAGCGTGGTCTGAAGAAAATTGGGTCCACCCATGAAAACCCACTTGCCCGCAACTGCCTCACAAGCACAAGGTCCTGAGTTCAATTCCTGGTACCACAAAAACAAACAAACCTGCTTGCCCAGACAGTGGGGTCATTCCCAAACTTTCTTCAAGCGTTCAAACAGAAACTTGGGTAGAGAACTTAGGAAACAGAATAAAACAGGAGCTGAGGATTTAGCTCAGTGGTTCTGCCGCCTGCCTCAAAAGCATAAGGACCTGGGTTTGATCCCGGTACCAAAAATTAAAAAAAAAAACAACAAAAACCAATAAAACAAAAGTCTCCTATCCTATCCCTACTACCCACCTATTTCCCTAAAAAACCATTAGATGATATTGTAGAAATTGCCTTTTGTTATTTTCACTGTATTCTAGTACTGAGAATATCTTATCACCAATCATTCATCTCTATCAGGGGTCCCCAACCTGGCTTCCCAAGAGAAAATGCCAAGGAGGGAGATATGAAACGGTTTTCACCCTTTTACGTATTTTTTTTTTTTCCTACCAAGGATCAAACTTGGGACCTTACCCTTGTGAGGCAGGCGGCGGCACCACTGAGCTAAATTCCCAGCCCCCTAATGTTTTTTTGCGACTAGTCTGACTGTGTAGTTCAGGCTGGCCTTGAACTTGTGGCAGTCCCGCCTCCTGAGTGCTGGGTGTCTGCCACCAGGCCTGGCTGTTTTCACCTTTTTAAAATTAGTTGGAAAAACTCAAAAGGATATTTTGTGAAAAGTAAGAAAAATGTGATACTTGCTGGGTGTGGCGATGCATGCCTGGTAATCCCAGCACTTGGGAAGCTGAGGCAGGAGGTTTGTTTTGCGTGAGCTTGGGTTACAAAGTTCAAGGACCCTTATTTTGAGAAAAGTCCCTACAGATGTAATTAAGACAAGATAATCCTGGATACAGGGAAGGCCTTTATCCAATGGTAGGTGTCCTTTGAATTAAAGACATCTGAGACAGAGACATAGAGGAGGACACATAAAGATGCGGAGATGACTGATGTGGCCACAGGCTTAAGAATCAAGGAGACCGCCCCCCCAGCCTTGATGGCACCTTGATCTGAGTCTTCTAGTCTCTAGAACTGTGGGAATAAAGTTTCTGTGGCTACCCAGACTATGGTGCCCCTGCTGGTGGGGGCAGTCCTGTGCGTATTTATGGTTTCCACAGAATGTTTGTGGGAGATTCTGGCATCACCAGGATGAATCATCAGGCTGAGGGAGGACTGCCTTTACCACGGATACCTGCAGCTGTCCACCCTCCCAAGCTCCTCACCTGGAATGGCCAGCCACTGGGTCATCACTGAGAGTGCTGTGCTCTGTACCTGGTCCTCGGGCACTACCTGGTCCACCATGCCCAACTGAAGGGCCTCTGCTGGTGGGAAGAGCAGCCCCAGTTGCAAGGCACGCTCTGCAGCCCGATGCCCAATGGTGTTCACAAGGGTGTCTTTGAGCCTGGAATGAACATGCCTGGTCACCTCTGGCAGGAGACTCCCAGGAGATTGTGTTTAGCTCAGGATCAAGTACAGTGGGTGCAGTCCCTGGCCTTACCAGAAGGGGGCAACAATGCCCAGCAGAGTCTCATTTAGTCCCATTCGGTACCTAGGGTTGTCAGCCAGGAGCCGGTAGTCACAGGTGAGGGACATCATGCAGCCTCCAGCAGGGGAAGCTCCCTGCAGGGAAGAGAGGTGGTCTGGAGGTGCCAGGTCCCAAGTGTACCCCTGACAACAGGGGTCAGAGTCGAGCCCAGGAAGGGTCAGTAGGTGGGCATGAGCTCTTGGGGTGGCCCCAGCCCCACTGCCTGGGGGGTGCACCAACAATTCAGGCTGTGTACAGTGAGGAAAAGGACCAAGAAGAAACTGTCTTCCTTAAGGCTTTGCAGCAGCATCTCAAGAAGGGCTCAGGCTTGCCCGTCAACCCAAGGGCCCCTACAGACAAGACCATCAGCTTTTGGGGGCTAGAAAAACCTGAACTGGGCTATTAAGGGCGGTAAGGTACTTTTCCTTTTATAGCTTGTCCAATGCTACTCTCCAAGCAAGCATTTAGCCACAGGTGTCATTTCATTCAGGCGCAATGTGGCCCCATGACCATCTCCCACAGCCAACCCTACCAGGATGTCCTGGGAACCCAAACTCACACCGTGTCCTCACTTTACGCCCCACACTGCCCCAGACAAACAGCAGGTCATCAGTGCTTCCTCTTTAGCACCTTTACCCTATCTCACCGCAGTACTTCCGTGAGGCCCCTGACTTTCATGTTAGATGACATGCTGCCTTTCCTGGTTAGTCACAGCTACCTGCTCAGAGCACAGTTCCAGAGCTGTACTCTTCCTCAGCCTCCCCGGCCTTTCCCAGATCTGGCCAGGCTGAGGTTCCCAAAAGGCAGACCTAGCCTCCCATTCACTCCAGAAATAGCCTGTTAATGGGTAGGCCCTGGTCCCTACCCACTAGCTCTTTTGTGTGTCTGTCCCTGCCCCTGGGCTGGCTCCTCCCCAAATCAGGGAGAAGCTATGGGGTGGGAATACTCACGTTGATGGCAGCAACCACCACCAGGTTGGACAGGTAGAGCTTTAGCCACATCTCCTGCACGGCCCTCCAGTATTCAGCATAGTGAGCTGGGTTCTTCCCGCACATCTCCCTCAGGTCCAGCCCAGCTGAGAAGATGCCAGGACAGTCCTCGGAGAAGCAGCCAGAGCAGGGTGTTCACGAGGGTTACCTCACCAGGAATGGGGTTGCCTCCGCGAAGCCCAGAACTGGGGGCTCTAAGGACAGCTCCTTGACCCAGCCTATACTTTCCAGGATAGTCGTCCCTTTCCAGTTGCAAACTGGAGAGGCAGAACTGGCATCGCTTCAGGCACATGAATGCAATCTACCCAGAACAGTCCATTCTTGCCCTCAGGGCTGTAGCGGGCACTCTCTTCTCTATGGGGTATTTACATCCCTCCCACCCCCAGCTCCACCCCCCCACTAGGACATGCCCCGAGGTACAGATCTGTCCCCAGATTCCAAGGTCACCCCATTCCTTTGGATGAAGTTCCTGGCATGTGCAGCACTTGGGACAACGCTGGGGTTCAGACAGGAGAAAAGTTTGCCCTCTGAGACTGAAGAGCAGCTGAGTGCGGACTCCCTAGACCTACATACTGAGGGACTGGCTCAGGAAGCAGAGCCCCCTAGGGCACAGCAGCCCAGGAGCCACCTAGGTCCTACAGGGTCAGCTTCTTCTCAAGCAGCATGGGCTCCAGAATGCCCCTGTGACGACCTGGCTCTCCCAACATGGTTCTGGCCCAGGCTGGGGCACCATAGCTCTCCTCAGGGCTACCTTGACAACCAAAGGCCTGGAAAGTAGGCTTCAGCTGGGCCTGCCTTCAAGAAAATGACCTGCAGGCCGGGGATTTGGCTCAGTGGTTCCACTGCCTGCCTCGCAAGCACAAGGGCCTGAGTTCAATCCCTGGTACCAAAAACCAAAAACCAAAAACAAAACCCCCCAAAACGACTGCCTGAGCTCACTAGTACAATCAAATCCCTGGTGACTATGCTCTTTGGAAGCCTCTCATGGTAGCATCTGACCTCCGGGTGGCAGGGGCTGCCTGATTACTCTGTCATATGACAGGTGGCTCCAGCGTTTCCTATGTTTCCACTTTGATCTGAGGACTTGGGGCCCAAAGCAGCACCTACCGAAGTTAAGATGACACCTCTGAGGGTCTTGTCATTCTCCAGCTTCTCCAAGCAGATGACAAACTCTGTCAGAAACTCCAGAGTAAGGCTATTGACTGGAGGGTTCTTGAATTTTATCACAGCAACCCCTAGTTTAAAGGAGGAAGAACCTTACATCCAGCCTGGCTACAGTCTCCTGACTAGGCTGTAACCTCAGCCAGGCCACAGGAAACTGCACAGTTCTGGGGTTTTAAAGAATGAGGGGGGCTGGGGATTTAGTTCAGTGGTTCTGCTGCCTTCTTCACAAGCACAGGACCCGAGTTTGATCCCTGGTGCCCGCCCCCCACAAAAGTTAAAGAATGAGGGGAAGCCAAGTATGGTGGTGCACACTTGTCCTCCCAGCACTTGAGAGGCTGGAGCGAGAGAACTGCCACTGGAACGAGGCCAGCCTGGGCTATGGACTGAGTTCAAGGCCAGGCTGAACCACAAAGACCCTGCCTCAAACAAAACAAAACATACCACCACAACTGAGGGAAGTCTGGTGTGGGGTTACAAGTCTGTAGTTCCAGCACTCTAAGAGGCTGAGGCAAGAGGGTCAAAAGTTTGAGCCTGGCCTGAACAATGTAGACCCTGTCTCAAAATTTTAAAAATGGATAGAATACAGCTTAGTGAAAAGGCCCTGTGTTCATTTCCCAAGCAAAACAAAACAGAAACCTCAAGGTGAGATTCACATAATATAAATTTACCACTTTAAAATGAACAGTTTAGGGGCCATGGATTTAGCACAGTGGTTCCGTTGCCTGCCTCACAAGCCCTATGTCCCAAGTTTGATCCCCAGAACACCCTCCCCCCAAAAAAGTTTAGGTCCACAAAACATATTTACAAGGTGGTACAACAATCACTACTATCTAGTTCCAAGAAGAGAAATGCCTTCTTTCTTACCACTTGCTCACATTCCTTGGCAACCTCTATAGGCTTTGTCTCAGTGTATTTGCCTGTTCTAGAGGTTTCACACAAGTGGAATCATGGGCTTCCACGGTGCGGTGGTTATCATGTTCACCTCACGAGTGGAATCGTGTGGCCTTTCATTGACTGCTGTCTTTCACTGAGGGCCTGTTTTTGAGGTTCATGCCAGTAAGAGGTACCATAGATCAGGATTTTTTTCATTATTTTGTTTTTGAGGGCATTGCTTTGTTGTCTAGGCCTTGAACTCACTATGTAGCCCAGGCTGGCCTTGAATTCATGACTATCTTCCTGTCTCAGCCTCCCGAGTGTTGGGATTACAGATGTGTACCAACATGGCCGGCTTCATTATTATTTTAATTATTATTTTTGGCTATGTAGTGCAGGCTGTTCTTGAACTCACTATGTAGTCCAGGTTTGCCTCAAAGTTATGATCATCCTTCCAACTGCTGGGATTATAGGCATGTGCCACCATACCCAGCACATTATTATTTTTAGATATTTTAGATGAACCCAATGTTCTCCAGTGCTAGGCAAGTGCTCTATCATGGAGCTATATCTATAGCCCTTTAAAAATTTTTTTCCCCCTTTTCTATTTTATTATTTATTTTTGAGACAGGGTCTATGTAGTTCAGGTCGGTCTTAAACTCACTAGTAGCCCAGGCTGGCCTCGAACTTGTGGTAATTCTCATGCCTTGGCCTCCCAATTGTTGTGATTAACAGGTGTGCACCACTATACTCAGCAACATAACCTTTAAAACATTTTTATTTTGAGAGTGGGTCTTACTAAGTTGCCCGAGCTGGCCTGGAGTTATAAGCATATGACATTGTGGCCGGCAGAATTTTCCTTTTTTTTTTTTGGTGGTGCTGAAGATGGAACCCAGGGCTTTACACAAGCTAGGCAAGCCCTCTGCCACTGAGCCAAATCCTTGCCTTATTTATTTATTTATTGACACAGGGTCTCACTATGTAATTGAGACTGACCTGGAACTCACTATGTAGCCCTGGCTGGTCTGGAGCTCACAGTGAAACTCCTGCCTCAGCCTCCCGAGTGCTGGGATTATTTTTTAGGGCTAAAGAAAACCCACTTGTAGCTGGGCATGGTGGTAGACGCCTGTAATCCCAGCACTTGGGAGGCCCAGGGAGGAGGATCACCATGAGGTTCAGGCCAGCCTGGGCAACTTAGTGAGCTCAGGGCCAGCCTAAACTACAAGGGGAGACCTTGTCCCAACAAAGAAACAAAAAACCCCTCACCTGTAAGGAACAATCACCCTTTGTCCACAGATGGACACTTGGGCTGTTTCCACCTTTGGCTACTGCACTATGCTGTAGTGAACACGTGTGCACACATTTTATTTTTTAGACACCTGTTTTCAGTTCTCTTAGGAATATTTCTAGAAGTGAAATTGGTGGATGTATTTTATTTTGGACTCTAGGCCAACAGTAAGGGTGCACAGGCAGTAGGGCCCTGACTGCCTTCGTACAGCCTTTTTGCCGTGCTGGCTTCTCACGATATCAGCAAGGCCTCAAGTTCCTGGATGGTTTCATCCCTCAAGGATGAAAGACAAAGGTTCAAGAGTTGCCTCTCCTTGGAACAAGGAGAGACAATCCTGGAAACCCATCTCATGCACAGATACGCCAAGTGGCATCTGGTACTGAGGCAGGCAGAGGGAATACTGGGACCCAGGATGTGAGCCTCTCCACCAGGACTAGAGACTCTTGTCCCCACTGTTCTCAGAAACCAAAGGCTTTGACAGAACCTCCCTCTCCCACCGAGGGGCCCCAGTCTCTGAACTTGTAATCACTCCTGGTGGGCACAAAGTATCCCAGGCCCTGTCAGCGCTGCTCAGATAGAGTAGGACTGTGTTTTTGGTACTGGGGTTGAACCCAGGATCTTCACACTTTTGCTACATCCCTATCCTCTGTTCATAGTTGTATTTTATTTTTTGGTACCGGGGATCAAGCTCAGGACCTTGTGCTTGTGAGGCAGGCAGTAGAACCACTGAGCTAAATCCCCGGCCCTTATAGTTTTGAGTCAGGGTCTCACTAAATAAGTAAGTTGCCTAGGTTGCTATCAAATCTGTGATCCTCTTGCCTCAGCTTCCCAGAGCGCTGGGATTATAGGGATGGGCCACCACACACAGTTTATATACGAACGCGTTCGTCACTTTAACACAGGCCAGACTACCCAGTCCCTTACTCCACAATGAGCCAATGTTGCCTGCAGCTTGGCTCTGGACACAACACCTTGGCTGCCCACTTGTGCTCACCCTTCAGGCCCACCCTTGACCAGAGCCTCCGTGCAGGCCCTATCATGTCCCATCAGACCTCCTAGGCCACTCCACCCACTGATAACGCCTCTGGAAAAGCGGTATGATTCCACAGAGGAATAGCACTGAGCCCCACCTGTGCAAAAACCTTTGGGGAAATCAGGGAGATGGAGGTACAAAGGCAGGAGGAAGGTAGAAAATGATCCAGTCTGACCTACAGTAAAGCTTTCCTTTCTTTCTTTTTTTTTTTTTTTTTTTTTTTCCAGGGAATTAATTTTTTTATTTTTATTTATTAATTTTATTGAGTTTATTGGTACATTTTAGGGATACAGTACAGTTACATTCATTGTTGGGATCATGTACCTCTACATGGCAAGTCTTGATTCTCATTTTTTCCC